AGGGCAGGTTTTGCAAAACAGAACCTTTACCTCAGGGGCCAGGCTAATTCGAGGTAGCATCAGTAGCATCAAGTAGGACGCTACTTGGCATCTAAGGGACCGAACTGACTGGTGTGAGGAAGCCCCCACACCCAGGGTGTCAGCAGTGTCTCAAGTAAACACGGCCTCAAGGTCCCCTGTGCAAACATGGCATTGGCAGCCTCCAGAGAGCCTGGGAAGCAGAGGCAGTAGCAGGTGTGTTCCCGAAGTTGGGCTCAGGCACAGAAGGGCCTGGTCCACATCCCATGTCTGGCTTTAGTTGTGTGTCCAACAGGCCTCAGTCTCCTCATCTTTAAAACAGGCACCATGATCGTCTTCACCCTGCCCGGACTGTTCTGAGACTGAGTCACCGTGTCTGCAAGCACTCAACACGGGGCCTGGGAACACAAGTCAATTCTCCAGCAGGGAATGACCCTCAGGACCCACCGCAAATTCTAGGGCAGGGAGCAATCTTTGCAGGGACACAAGTTCCAAACCTCACTCTGGAACATACTGTGTGGTGCTGGGTAAGCCACATGCCTCCTCTGAGCCTCTGTTTTCTAGTCTATAGAAAGCAGATAGATGAAAGTGAAGCCTTCTGAAGCCCCCACTATGGGCCAAAGCCCCGTCCCCTCCAGTTTGGGCATCAACTTGTTTCATGCTCACAACAAACCTACAGAGTGGGTAGTGGCATTAGCCCCATTTAACGTAGGAGGAGACTGAGGCTCAGAGCGGCCACGCCAGGACTCATACCGGCAGATACTATGCCCAGGGCGCTGTCCTTTCTCACCAGGTTATTGTTTGAAGCCGGTCACATCAAAGGGCACAACAGAGGTACAAGTGCTTTTGACCAGTACTAGCAGAGGTCGCTGTGACTGCTGTAACAGCTCAAAAGCCCTGAGTCCAGCTAGAAGGTCCAGCATCTCCCTGCAAGGGCTGATCTGGTTTTACAATAAGATCAGGGCTCTCAAAGTAAGTTAAGGAAGCCAGGCATGCTGGGAGGAGAGCATCATTTTAATGAAAAAAAATAAAAAATCCTGATTAATGGAAATGATTCTTAATATATTTCAAAATGATCTGTTATGACACAAAGCAAAGACATTTATGTACGACTCTGAAATTCTTAATAGCTGATTTTAGAGCAACCTATTATGAAATCTTCCAAAGCAGAATATACAGTAAGTAAATCATCAGGCAGGCCTCCCAGGCAGACTGACGGCAGCTCCTCTTAAAATAATTTATAAGGTGGGGTGGGGGAGACTGGGAGAAATTATTGCCATAATCATGTATTAGTAAAATATTTATAAATGTGACTTTCTCTTTCACCGTTACGGCAGCTACAGGTATAGGCCAGGTCCTTGAGCCCACATCAGCGGGGCACCCACCTGTCCCCAGAGGAGACACTCAGGTATCAGGCTTCTCTGAGCCCGCTTCATGGTGCTAGAGGCAGGCAGGGTTCAAGGGCAATGAAGGAAATCGCCTCCCTCCCGCTGCAGGGCACCCAGGGAGCAAGACCCCTTCCTTACCAGGCCTCGCAGGGCACCCCAGAGAGCAAGCCCGCTGGAGCTGAGCGCAGCTGAGAGGCAGGGCCGGCAACCTTGGGAGGGTTCCCCAACCCAGTCCAGAAGCCCAAGCGGAAGCCATCCTATGGACCGCCTGCCTTATGCTTGACGCTACAGATGATGCTCCGGCACCCTGGTGGCCGCCAGCCTCAGGATGTAGGGGAGCCCCTCTTGAGGGAGGGAGGCTTTTCATCCTCGGGTCATGAGAGAAGGGAGCTGTGCTTGGAGATATTCTCCAGGCAAGAACTAGTTCTTCCTCTCACCGGCTTCCCGGGCAGGGTTGACAGCGTGGATGGAGTCCACAGCCCACCTGCCTCTTTCCAGCTGTGCAACCTAGGGCAAGTCACCCCACCTTCTTTGTGCCCCAGTTTTCTCTTTTATAAAATGGAATAACAATATCACCTACCTTTTGGATTTGTTGGGAAGATTTCACGAATGAGCATGTACAAAAACGCCTAGAATAGTATCTGAGGTGCCCTCAGCACGAAGTGAGTGCTGGCTCTCACCGCTGTGGTCATTGCTATCGTTATTGTCATTATTGTTACATCTTGAGTCATGCAAGATGCTTCTCTGGGATCCTTTCTAGATTTAAAATGCTATAGCTAAGTGAAAGAGGAAAAGTAAATTCTAGGCAGTCCTATCTAGGATGGCTTCCAGATACTGTGGATTCTGGCAGTTTCGAAACTTTTAGGTGTCTGGTGTATGCATTTCAGGATCTGGTGAAAGCTAGAGATGCCATCTCTTCCTCCCAAACCCCACATTTATGCACAATTCAGCATGCTATTTCAGTAGTTACTAAGGTTCCCTGTTGCAAATCAGTGGTAGCCCCCAAAAGAGGTATACCCTATACATCTTTACCCTAACCCCCGGAACCAATGAATGTGCCTTATTTAGAAGAAAAAGTACCTTTGCCAATAGAGTTAAGGATCATGATATGGGCTCATCCTAGAATACTTAGAACCTAAGGATTGGTCCAAAATTCACTAAACTCAAAATCCAGTCACAGGAGTCCTGATAAGAGAAGACAAGACACAACCACAGAGACGGCGATGTGAAGACAGGAAGAGACTGGAAAGAAGTGGCCACAGCCAGGAGCCAGCAGCTTCTGGAGCAGCAGAAGCTACATGAGGCAACGCAGGGTGCTAGCCCAGAGCCTCTGCAGGGAGCACAGCCCTTGACACTGTGACTTCAGGCTCTGGCCTCAGAACTGTAGAGAATAAATCTGTTGTTTTAAGCTGCCCAGTTTGTGGCAATTTGTCACAACAGCCGGAAATGAATGCACCCCCTAAAATCCACACATAAAACACTCAGGGGTAGGAGTACATGGACCTTAGATTAAGCACCTGTAATCAAGCCCAACTCTAGAAATTCAGTCTGAGAAAACTGAGACCAGAGAGAGAGAAGACTGACTCCAGGGCACACAACAAGCCGGGTGAGACTCGGATGCCAACAGCCTCTCGCATGGCTGTGTCTGAGGAGGACAAGGAGTTTCTTCAAAGCACAACCAAAGAGTTGGGCAGCTCTGAGGCACACAGACCCCCAAGCTGTGATCTTCCCTGAAGGTCATGTAGAAGAGGGATCAGCCAGTTCTTTCAAGAAAGGGCCACAGAGTAAGTTCTTCAGCCCTTGAGGGCCACAGCAACTGCACCCCACTGTGGAAGTGACATGTCAGTGAGTGGTCACGGCCAGGTTCCAGTAAAACCTTAATATGGACACTGCCATTTGAATACCAAGTCGGTTTCCTATGTCCTGAAATATCAGTCATACATGTTGTCATCTAATCAGAAAGTGCAAACTCTTCAGTGTGACAGCTGTACACTGTACACTGTACAGCAGGCTGCATTTGATCCATGTAGCTTGGCACCACTGGTGTGGACAAAACCAAATGCAGAGGTGGGGACCTGTTACTGGTAACTAGAGTTTTGAAGGAGGAAAAATGCGAACTTGAAATAGGACCTCCGTCTCTCACCTGGGCTGAGGTTGCTCTTGGTGACCCAGAAGCCGGGAGAGCCATCCCCCCGCCTCAAAACACCATGGTGGTAACCCCTGAACAGTGAGGCCCCCAAGGTCACAACTCATTTTTTTTTTTTGAAAGGCAAGGGGCGTTTGTTTTTTCATTTATTTCACATCTTCCCAGTCAAGCAAGTCTGTCCTTGTTCTGGACCAATTGTGGAATCCCTACCTTACTTATTTCTGATTTAGTACAGCTTCTAGGAATTTCCAAAATCAGCGGGCAATATATGTGGCTCAAAGGTATGAGAGTTCAAGTAACAAGCCATAAGGCCTGGAGTGTAAGAACAGCTGCCCCGCAGAGAAATAGCCACAGAGTCAGAACCCATTTCAGGGGCAGAGGAAATGGTGAATTGCAGACAGATCTCACTTCACATGGGTTCATTTGACAAGTCCCAGCTCTGTTCGGGACCAAAGGAAGCCACTCCCTATGGAAAGAGCTAGACAAGGACGTAATCACAGCACAAGTCTCCATAAGCCCCATAAAGCCAGTAGCCACATTATTCTTGATCCGTGCTACCTCCCAGGAACTTCCACGTGGTCAAAAAGGATTGCAGAAGAGACTGATTAGGGAAGAGAGGAGCCTTGAATTCCAAGCCAAGGAACTTTACTTGGTTTAGCAGACAAAGGAGTGCCCGGGGGAGCCTCTATGCAGGAGGAAGACACGTGAGTCCACACTGCGGAAAGAAGCCTAAAGGTCCCCCTAGGGATGGACAGGAGGCAAGGGCTATTACAACAGCCCACGCCAAGATATAGGCAACTTCTGGCGTCAGGTGATAACGCAAGAGCAGAGAAATCAGGACGGAGGCTACAGAGAGCAAGAAGGGGCACGTCAGCAAACAGACACAGCGGGCGAGGGGACTTCTGCAGGGAGCAGCCTCCGCCCGCCCGAGGACTGGGTCAGTTCCGGCACAAGCGGTTGGAAGCATTTCCAAGGCGTCTCCTCAGACACATGGCGTCTCCTCAGATACATGGCGCCCGTATTGCAAGGACCCACTCTTTACTGACATGTCCCAGAGCATCTTTGCTCAGTTCAGTAGCCACCAGCTACTTGTGGCTATTTCAATTTAAGTTAGATAAAATGAAATGAAATTAAAACTTTAAGCCGCATTCTGTAGCTACACTTCAGGTACTCAGTCGCCATGGCGGCCAGCGGCTCTGGACTGGACTGCACAGGGGAGAACATCCTCATCACAGCAGATTTGGGTGGTGCTGGTCTGCATGGTTGGCCCTTTTTCCAGCCCCGTTTCCTTCTCACCACGGCTGGTCCAGCAGCCCCCCCAAAGAGCAGTCCCAGGGACACAGACGAGGACAGACTGCCCTGTCCCACCTCACTGAGACAAGGGCCAGCGAACCATCTGCCGAAGGAGACAGCTGGTCACGCAGGTGAGCACGGCAGGAAGGACGTACCTTTGCAAGCCCCTGCTGCGCCGAGGTGGTAGAGGGCGGCCAACACCCGCCAAATGGCTCGCTGCTCGGCCTCCGAAATGCCCAGCGTCTCCATGGCACCCTGGAGCTGGGTGAAGGCGGCTGCTGCCTTCTGCTTGTCTTCAGGCTGAGAGCAAAGGGAGAGGGGAGGAGAAGGAGACCATCACAGTGGAGAAAATGCAAACGCACAACTTGAAGCCAAGCTCCGTCTCGGGGGAGTGTGTGGTCATATTATTAGCCCAGTAAATTACCCACAATTAAGCCAAGGAGTGTTGACACACACAACTCAGACTGCTGGGAAAGTTATAAAAATCATTTCAATCTGACTTTGGAATGTGGGACGATTTTTATTCATTCACGGGTTCATTCAGTAGATTGATGAAGGCTCTGCTCCATGTTGGGCCCTGGGGATGCAACGGAGAGTGAAAGCCAGAAGTTGACTTTGAGGGCTTCTCAAGGTAGGAGTGGAAAGAGACATGAAAGCAACCCAGTGGTGGGATACTGGTGTGCGTGGGAAAGGGTACCGAAGGTGGGAGTGCATAATTAGTCCCAGCAGAGAGTCTGCCATAGAAAAAAAAAAAGAGAGAAAACTGTGATGTAAGTCTGAAAGAGCAATAGGCCAATAAGGTCCAATAAGGGCCCAAAGAATGGACAGCAAACAGCAAAGGAGATCCTTAGAGAAACAAGGCATCAGCTGAACATGAATACATACGCAGCTATTTTTGGAGGTGGGCAAACAGAGAAGGGGAGGACATAAAGCTAGCAGGTGCCAATTGTGAAGGCTTCAAACACATTATTAAAGTCATGGGCTTTAAACTCCAGTCATGATCAGCAAATACACACCCCTACTCAACCCCTAGACCTGTGGCAGACATCACCAATCAATCAAGAAAGCGAAGCAAGTGAGTGGGTCCAGATTCTGAGGACCTAACCCCTTCCAGTCACCACTGACGTGCCTTGGAAAGTGAAACGGACTCTGCTTGCCACCCCCAGTGTGAGCAACAGGAAACTGCCAAACAGTTTTAAGCAGGAGGACAGGGAAAATGACATGATCAGATGTTTATGGGTTGCAGGGTGTTGTTTTTTCTTTTTCAGATTTATGATTCCAATTATGTTTGATTGAATATTAAAATTAGTCTATAACTCCTGCACACACACCATCTGGCCAAGGAGACTTAGCCCAGAAGCCTGCTGAGTTGAGAGGAAGTGATCCTGGGACGAGAATTCTTTTGTCAATAATCCACCAGCAGATAATGAGAAGCTGATTTGCACTTGGCCTGCTTACAGAGCTTGGGTGATGAACTGTAGGCTGCAAAAGCTGGCAGGTCCTTGAATTTTAGGGAGTCCAATTCCCAGAGAGGGGACAACAATTGCCCAAGGTCACACAGCAAATTACTCTCAGACACAAGACAAAAACCAGGTTTTTCTGAGTCCCAGTCCACATCACTTGTCCCATCCACTCAGGCCACTTGTTCTAACTGGGCTTAAGGAAACCAGGAAGGATCTTCGACCGATTGGGATGATGTCTAAGCGTGCAGGGACGCTGAAAGTTTCGTTGTGGAAACATTTCAATTAATAGCAAAAGCATGTTCCACTGATCCATCATATTTCCAGGCCACCACAGGACCACAAAGTCCCTAGCAACCAGGAGCTCAACCTAGCAACCACAACCGCTTCACTGGAGCAAATGGAGGGAGGGAAGGCATCTTACCAACATGCTCTTGCTTATTTATGAGGTTTCAAAGTAGCAGAGAAAGGACAACAAAAGGACAGTGGCCACACATTCATTATAGTTCCCACTGTCAGCCATGAGCACTGGACTTTAAATTACAGGTGGGCTCCATCATCCGTCACTTAGCTCATGTTAAGGGAAGAATGAGAAAACTTCCACAAAAGATTATTTGTTTTGCTTCTTTTTCTCTTCCTTCCTGCTCCCCAGGTCTCTGTGACAAAAGAGGACAAGGAGGGACAAATCTATGCTTCTGATCCAAATGATTAGTCACAGAGGAATGTTTGCTGTCCCTTAAACTGCTAGAGTCCAAAGCCTTTGTATAATGCCCTGGCTAAATCCGCCATTTGTGTCAAATGTGAAATTAGTCAAATTAGAGAATAATTCATCTCACAGCCTAAATGTCTACCAATAGGAGAATGGAGAAAAACAAATCTTCCAGGATTCTGTCTGGAGTGCTATGCAGCAATGAAAAAGAATGAGCCACTGATATGTACAACCATCTTTATGAACCCCACAGATTCATTGTAAGTCAGAGAAGTCAGACATAAAAGACTAAAGTATTGGTGTGAATTTAGACTGGCTGGGCCTCTAGGGATAAGAGTATCAAAGTTGCTCAAAAGATTGAAAATGGATCTGACATACAACCCAACAATTACACTCCTAGAAATCTACCCAAAAACTACAAAACTGCTAATGTTAATCACAGCAATGTTTATACAAGTTATAGCAACAAGCTAAATGCCCAGTGATGAGAGGATCAAGAAGATGTCGGACATATATGTGGCAGAATACTATGCAGCTATCAATAAGATAAACGTTTGCCATTTGTGACCATGTGGATTGAGCTAACAGAGATTATGCTGAGAAAAATAGGTCAGAAGGAGAAAGATAAAGACTAGGTGGTGTCACTTATATGTGGAATATAGAGAAACCAAACAAAGGGTCAGATAGAACCAAACTAAGAACTAACCCTAGAAAGTGGACTATGAAACTGAGACTACCAAAGAGGGTTGGGGGGAGAGAGGGACGAGAACAGAGCAGGGAGGGGGTACAACAGACGAGGGGTGTGTTGGTGATGGCTATAGTGTAGTGATAACACCTGAGAGCCTGTATATCTAAAACACAGATGATGGTGTGAACTCCTATTATGTCAATTTTAAAGAAGAATATAATTATCATTGATTTGTATACTTAAAACCAGTGAGTGCACTTTATACATTTCACTTTGGTTTCACCTTGATTAAAAAAAAATTAGTGGGGGAAAAAAAAAAAAAGCCAACTCACAAGACACCCAGGATTTGTCAGATGCAGTCAGAAACTCAAGGTCAACCAAAGACTGCAGGTAATTTAGTGAAAAATAATAAAATTCCAAATGTTCTCTCTGCATTCGACCGGCTGCCTTTAGAGGGCCCAGGAGGCTCCAGGGTACTCTGCAGAGAGGCCAGGTTGGATTCCGAGTCAGACAGGACTGATGCCATCATCACCGCCTTCCTGTGAGTGTGACTTGGCTCAGGCCTCCCAACTATGAACCGTGGCTCAGTTCTGTTTGGGTGGAGTGGGAAAAATAGCCCACCCTCTTCCCCAAGTGACTGTGAGGATAAATGAACTGATACGCAAAGCACCCAACATAGGGCCGGCACACAGTGGTGCCCAATAAATGAAGCCTGCGCTCACCACTGCATCCTTCCCACATGCCTGCACCCAGGCCGCTACTCCTGGGAACACCTTTCCCCACTGCTGTCCAAGTGCAAACCCAGCGTTGCATGGAAAGTGAATCGGGTCTGGCCCTGTCCTCAAGGGGCTTCCAGTCCAACGACGGGGCAGATGTACAAACAGATGATGACAGCATGGAGGGCGTTTGGGGGGCTGGGAGGCCTGGGAAGGGGCAGTGAGCCAAGGGGGAGGGTCAGAGGCTTCCAGAAAGAAGTGGAGGCTGAAACAAATGAACAAGCAAGGTGGAGGGGCACTGGGGAGCCAGAAAGGGTCTCTAAGGAGCAGGTGCAGGGCTGAAGAACACGTGGGCCTGGGATGCTGAGAACACTGAGGACATTGTGCAGAGGGCACCAGGAGCTTGAAGCTCCCACTCCACCCAACTCATGCCTGCGCACGGCTCAGAGCCCTGCCAGGGTGCTCCGGCACCCTGCTCAGAAGCACAGTGGGGGCCTCAGGTAGATCTGGGTCCCCCCACGCATTCAGGGTTGTAAACCAGCCCCTTCTCCTCCAGGGGGGGGGTGGCTCCGCTGTCCTGACAATCAAGCATCGGAGGGGATTCCCAGCCTCCACTGCGCTGGAGAGGGACGCAGCTCTGCGAAGCAAGGCTGGGCCATGACCTGATTCCTTGCAAAGGGGAGAGCGGTGCCTTCCGGGTGGTGACCCTCATGCAGCTCATGGGGAGGGCCACACATGTGACAGCTCAAAGCCAGGCACTACCTTTTCCCAAGGGGCTTTGCCCTTCACTCAACACTGCTCAATGGGTGTCTTCTTTGGTTAGTCACTGGGAGAGCATTTAAGAGAGAGGAGAAAGAATTAATTGAGCACCTACTCCACTATCATTGGGGCTTTTACCTGATAAGGTGGGTGTGGAGCTCTCCAGTTGACAGAGGAGGAAACTGAGGCCCAGAGAGGGAAGAGAGGGGGGCATAGTCACTCTGTGCCAGAAACTCAGCTGAGCCCCCGATCCTACAGCAGACTGGAGAGTTGGGTGTTGTTCTACCCATTCCACAGGTGAAAAAATGGGGCTGCTCGAGGCTAAGAAACCCAAGGATGACCAATGGATTAGATTCCAGAGCACATGGCCTCCAGCCATGTGAGCTGACAGAGTGGGACAAACAAGAGGGCCAGAGCTGAAGTCAGCCAACCTGGGTTCCAGTTCTGTTTCTGCTCCTCAAGCACTGTGCCCTTGGCAAATAACTTCAGCTCTCTGGGCTTGCTTACTCCCCCTGAAAATAACATGATTATAATCCCTTTGCTCAAAAAGCCATTAGGATCAAGTAAGAGAAAGCTGTCGGCAGAGCCTGACATGAGCGCACGATTCCCTCCTCTTCTGTGTGGAAACCGATTCTCCACAGTCAACACCTGGGTCATAAGAAATAAATGTGCCTCGGGCCAAAGTCTGGAAGGCAACAGCCAGAAGCAGGCTGCAGAGGGGAGAGGATTATTATTATTATGAGCACTCCCGCTGGATACATTTTTTAAAAATCAGGCAAGGTTGCAAAAAAACAAATTACAGAGTAGAAAATAATAGGAAAGATTTTGATTTCGAATGTATCGTGGTCAAATAAATTCCATTTAGAAACTGAAATGTGGCAGCAGTGGCCAGCAGTGCAGTGTCCAGGCGGTGGAGCTGAGAGGCAGCAAGCAAGGCGACCACTGAGAACCAGGGCCGCCACGGAGGGTCTTAGAGCTCCAGCTGTCCCTGCTCCAGCTGTCCACTGTCGGGGCTCTTCAGTCACGCAGTGCTGTTTGCTACTCCCACCTTTACCTTTACATCGGCAGCAGGGTGGGTAACAGGATGCTAGCTTCGCTGTACCTGTCTAACTTCCTTCTCAGTTGAGGAGGTGTCCAGCACCTCCTCCAGGCAGCCTTCCCTGATAGCCGCTATCCCTCCCAACCTGGCCTCAGGCCACACGCACCTCTTTCAGTCACCTATCTCTCTGATTTAGAATTGTGTGCATATGTGGCTGTGGCAGCTCATACCCACCTAGGGAGCATGAGTGCTTTGTCGCTAGAAACCCAGCTGAGCGATCGCTGTGTGCCACTGCCAGCTTCTAGTAAAATCAACAAATAGTTGGTGAGAGAATGTGGACAGGCTGCCAGCTATTGTCCTTGAATAAGAGCCACTGATGCTGGGGGAGATGGCACCACCCCCCACGCTGGGTCCCACCATGTGACTCACCCCAGGGTCACAGACCCAGAGGCCCAGGCTGGCTGAGGGTTCAGAATCCCCAATTCCCTGATCACCTTCTCTGGATCCTCTGAGATTCCCAGCAACCATCAGGGATCCGTGCAGCGAATCCAAAGACAGACACAAGATCTCCAAGGCTCTAAGAAATGCCTCCCGAGACACAGCAGGATCAAATTAAAGTGAAATTAGCGTAGCTCTGCCTACCATGGAAGCACAGTCCAGAAAATTGAAAAGACATGATTTTAGCCAAGTTGCGACTTGGGTGTGCTCGTTCATTTATTCACACACCCACAATCAATGGAGCACGCCCTGGGTGCGTGGTTCGGTGAAGAGGACACAGAAGTGTCCCTGCCCTCTCCGAACTTAGGGCCGAGGAGAGACAGGCTGTGGGCTGCATGACAAGAGACAGGAGCCAAGGAGATCACAAAAGAGACCATTAACGGGGGTCTCTCCTCAGAGTCAGGTCTAGGATACCAGAAGCTGGGGATGTGTTGGGGAGGTCGAGGGAGGTCTGCGCGAAGACCTTTATCACCGCCTTATTAGGCTGCAAAGAGCTTAGCACTTTTTGTTCAGGGACTGCAGACTCTGCCATGGAGTCTGGTCACTAAAAATGTTGTTTGTGGAAGTCTTAGTGATATACAGTTTATTTTGAACGAGGTCAAAGTTTCCTGGGAAAATATACTGAGAAAACAATCTACAAAAATGTTACCAGAGGCTATTTCTGGATGGCCAAGTCAGGGGTGCCTGGTTCTGGGTTTGTGTGAATGTGTGTCTTTTGGATTTTGTTTTGTCAATAAAGATTTAGGTTTGGGGGCGGGGGGTTGTATGATTCTTCCACGAGATATATATATATTCATTTAATCTGTACACACACACACACACACACACTCACACACACGTGTGTACAGTCCTCAGCCTGTATCTTTACTTGCCAAATCCACCAACATGGGGGTTTGTACTTAGCACCTCTCATTCTTAGGAAGCATTTACTGATCACCAAGCACCTGCACTGCCCAATGCCGGAAAACCAACCCAAGCTTGTATCAAAGACCACAGAGTTTTAAAATCTTATTTTCATTCTTAGAGAACAGAGAAAACACCCTGTGGATCCTGGCAGGTAGCAGAGAGTGAACAAAGGAACTCCCTCTCTGCTCCCACTAATCAACCGGTGTTGAAAACACCGCCCAGAAACCCAGAGAAAACAAAACGAAAACCAACTCAAATGGCTTTTTGACAGGACTCACGCTGTGACCCGCTCTGCAATCAGGCTGTTAAAAAAGGGGCAGAGAGCTGTGCAGGGCAGCCTGGGCCTGCTCCCTCCTTGAAGTCAACAGGAAAACCAGCACCGACCCTGTTGCAGAGTCAAATGGATGCCCTTGGCCCGAACTCATTACTTCGGGATAATCTCTCAGGCTCTGCTGTCAAGGTGAAAGTCAGGGTTCCTGATGGCCCCCAATGATGGGGGGAAAGGGCATGAAAGAACATCCTACAGAATCCCCCCAGTGAGGGGGTATATTAGACTATCAGGAAGGGGAAGAGTAGAGTAGCTGACAGCATTTAAAGCTGGAGGAGCCACAGCACCCTGCACAATCAACTCGACTTCCACCTGTTTCCAAAGTAGGCCTCTGGGCCCACCAGAACCGTATCACCTGAAACTTGTGAGACAGGCAAATTCCCAGGCCAGACTCAGACCTAAGGAGCCTGCCTGTGGCCGGCGCTGGCACGTTCACAGACGGCCATAAAGCAGGGGCTTAGTCCTGAGGATGCAGCTTACAGGTTCATCTCGTATGGGCCATGCTGCTGGAGTCACAGCAGAGGGGGCTCTGCCAGCCTGAGGTTACCGAGATTCTCCTCTGGGTTTCTTCTAGAAGGGTCATGCTCTTCCATTTTAGAGTTAGAGCTGTGATGCAATTTTTGTTAGTTTTTGGAGGCAGCGTGAGTTTGTGTGGGCCTCTAGTGTGTCCAGGACCTGGGGCACCTGTGAAGGGCACACCGGAGGCATGACTGCTGTGTCCAGCATACAGTGAATCTTTATTCTGCTGCGTGCTCGTTATATATCCCACATTCTCACGCTGTAACGACAGCACAGTGACTTAACCTATCTAGACATTCTCAAGCAGTAACAATAGCAGATTGACTTACTCTAACTCTATACCTGCTGTTGTAATTCTTGGGACACCCTGTCCGGCCCCAAATGGCCATGCTCCCGCACACACCCGGACACTTCTCTTGATAATCTCTTTTGCTGTCTTTCTCAGACGTGGCTGCTGGCTCGCATGACCTATTTCCTCCCATCTAGGAGCTCAGACCCGGCCCTCGAGAGCCTTCCCCAAGGCGCACATGCTTCACGTGCCTTTTGGTGGCCAAGTCCAGATGCCGGTCAAGGCCATGAAGAGCTCTGTCAACAAGTATGTGGACTGAAATCCACGTTTCACCTGAGGACAGCCGATGATTCCCTCACGCCCAATGGGGGAAAGGCTTTACTCTTACCGGGTAAATGCCCACTGATCCTTTAAGCCCCACGTCAAAGCTTTGCTAAAAAACCTTCCCTGAGACCAAGTCATTCTTCATCTTTTCTCTGGTGCCCCCAGCACCTTGTACCACCTCTGACACATTCTTATCCCACGTGATTTTGTTTGTTAATTCTCCAGATAGAGTGAAATTGCGCCAGTGGGGGCCATCACCCCAGCACTTCGCTCAAAGCTGGCACAGGAGGTGACCGTGGGGTGTGTATAGCAGAGTCAGGGCAACTCAGAAGACAACTGTTACCAATACAAATAAGGGAATAAAAGAACAGGTAAGTGAATACTTTGTCTCAGCAAACAACTGAACACCCTCCCTCAAGGTCCTACTCACAGGCCACACCCTCCAGAAAGCCCTCTCTAATTGCACCTACTCCCATGAATCATCAGTAAGATCTAGCAAGAGCACCCGTTACCGATTTAGGCCTAACCTGGCATGAAGTGTTCTAGATGTGGTTTCATTAAACCTCACAACAGATCCATGAGGCATCTACAACCATCATTACCTTGCTCAAGAGGACCAAGTGTTGAGTGTTAAGCTGCTACACCTGAGCACACATACCTGGTAAGTGTCAGAGACGGGCCTGAACCCCATGGACGGAGCCCCAGAGCCCACGCTCTGACCTCTACGCACACCACTTCTGGGTTCCTGTTATCTCATTTCCCCAACAACCCTCGCAGTCAGAGGCACCCCCACCTCACGGCCGCAACCCCTCATCTCCCTGACTTGACCAACACTGGTCAAGTACACACCCCGGTGGTAGAGAAAAGATGTTGCACAGGACACCCCTCCGTTAACCTCCTCTCCTGGCCACGAGAGACCGACACCAACAGCCCCCCGGAAGGACCTCCCCTTTACCTTAGGCCACGTGCCTATGCCGAAGGCGCTGCTGTCCGCCATCTGGTGCAGGCACAGCTCGGTCCTAGAAGCAGGGAAGTGACAAGAAGTAAGGCAAGGCCTGTCTCCACAGATGGCCTGACAGGGCCGGTCAAGGTGGGGGCTGCCAGGTGATCCCAGGCCTGCCCCCAACTACTGCTCCCTCACCGCACTCCCAGGGCCCTACCTAAGGGCTGGATCCCGGGGAACAGAGCCAGACCTAGAGTCGGGGGCCAGCTTCTGACTCCAGGCTTCCATCACCTGCCTACGTGAACTTGCTCAAAGACAACACTGGAACATTAGACAGGACCCCAACTTCCCAGATTAGATTATATGACGATCCCACCCGATAGGTAGCAATATTATTCCCATTTGGCTGAGAGGCATTGAGAACAAGCCTTTATCCACACAGCTCACATACATGGAGCCGGGAGCCAGACTGAGCACTTCTGAACCCCCAAACACAGACACTGCCCAGCGCCCACCCCTCATCTCTGGCCTGTCTTCATCCTCTAAAGGGACGTGACGTTCACGGCTGCTTCCAGTGTTCAAACTGACAGGCCCTTGAGAGGGGCGCCACAGACTCCCCCCCTCACCCCGTCACCACAGGCCTGAAGAACACAAGCGAAGGTAGGAGGGGTGGGGAGGCCCAGCCACGCCCCCCTCACCCCCAGGAATGCCTCACTTACAGAAGCTTCATGGAGTCTGGCCTAGGACCCTACAACCCAATGGCGCTCAAGTCTGATCCTGGAAATTGGCGCTCATTCAGCAAGTCCCCAGCCTGTTTCTCCAGACTGGGGTTCTTCAGGGCCTCCTCCCCTAGTTTTAATACAGACCCACAACCCTGGCCTCAGCCTCACGCCCTGGAAGAGCCCTTATGAGATAGCCAGTCAGCAGGCAAGGGGCACTCGCTGACTGTCCCTTTAACCCATCTACAAATGGGTTTTCTATTACTTATGCCTCAAGCTTAAGTGAGCTGTAACATGACAACTCCCCTGCCCACCTGGACAGAGTAGGTTCTCCGCAGGTATCTCCCTTGCCCTCGACCTAGTCCATACCCCATCTTCTGGAAGTTGACCTTGACAACTAACAGCGGAGCATGAGTCCTACGCTAAGCACTGGGGAGGGAGAAAGCAGCGAGGCTGATTCGAGAATCTCAGAGTCAGTGTGCTGAGGGAAAGAGACACATCAGTGTGGCAGATGCTGTTCCAAGGGGCATACTGGGGCCAGCGTGGACAAAGGATAAACTGAGGGAGCACACCTCTAAGGAAGGCCCTTGGCGCTGGGTTTTGAAGTATGAATAGGAGCTTGCTACAGAAAGGAAGGACCCCGGCAGAAGTTAGAGCCTGTTTTCTCCGCTGCGGGTTCACTGTGGACACAGGAGCACTGTGGTGGCAGCAGCGGCAGAGAAAGGGACGTGGTGTGGGAGGGCCTGAGGGGCGACCTGCAGGAGCATGACCCCGAAGGGGCTGGGTTGTTCCAAACTCTCCTCCGGTCCTTCGGGTGCCTGAAACCCGTCTGGGCCACCCCTGCGCTCTCAGACTCAGCTCTGTCCTGACTCCTGGGACTGCACACTCGTCTGGGTCTGGCCCGCTGACACAGTGCCCTGTGGACTGGGGTGAGCCTGGTGTGGAGGCCTAGTAACTTCTGTGATGACCTCCCAGGACGATCGCCCCACCCCAGCAGGCCGTGACTCCAGGCCCAGAATCAAGTCCCAGCCACCCCATGGAAGGGGAAACAGGCTCAGAGACCAACACGGGGCAAAGCCAGACTCCAAACATATGCCCTCTGACCCCAAAGCCAGACCCTGCCAGCACAGCCCCTGTCAGGACCCAAAAGTCATGTCAAGGCAGGACTGATCCTCCCAAGAGTCACAGCACACACATGGGAGCATGAGCTGTCCTGGCGCTGTCCCCAGCCTGGTCCTTGCCTTACTCTTTAGCCATCGCAGCCCTGAGGCGGCTGTCAGCACACCCCTTACAGATGCCTCAGAGAGGTGCAGTCAGCAGCCAGCAGCAAGTGGAGAAGCCAGAGGTGAGGCCACATAGTCTGACCCCAAATCTGAGCTCCTTGTCAGTGGTGCTGCTCTGAGTTCTCTAGACTCTGAAGGCGTCACACCCAGGAGCTTCCTCATGACTCGGTTACCCTGCTCTGGAAATGGGGAGGTTCCTCTCCCATTGACCCTCTCCAAAAAACAGATGCTACCCTTCACCAGGAGGCTCAGCACAGGTTCAGCCTGCCCTTCACAGGAAGCAAGGGGCAAGCAATGGGGTGGCGGTGAAGGAAAAGCCCAAATCAGCACCCACTCCGGGGACAGAAACAGCTTTTCTCCCCAGAGTTTCACTGGGACCTGGCCACTCATTTGCTAGAGAGGAGACAGATCCACAGAGAGGGAGCCCCACGCCCCAGCAGGCCCAGCATAGCCAGGGAGGGCAGGGACGCCTCCCTGGCCACCTCCCCCAGGAGGCCCTTGAGACCAGGTCTACCTGAGTACCAGGCTGGCTGCTCCACCTGGTGTCCCCTGGGCCTGAGGTCCCCCTTCTGGGAAACCCCATGTGCCCCCGAGGTTCCCACAAAGCGTAGGATCTTCTGAAAGACTTGGAGTCAGCGGGCCTTGCCCTCCTCCCACACTCTTGCCAGGCAATGCCCTGCCGACACTCCACCATCACAGCCTCTGCCCCCACCCCCATTAATAAAGAGCTGCACGTGATGCCTATTGTTTCTGCTTCACAGAGGAAGCCACTGGGGTGCAGAGGGATGGTGCCTGACCAGGGTCACCCAGCCCAGAGCAGACCTGGCAGTGTCCTAACCACTCGGTTTCACTGCCCCTCGGCTCTGGGCAAAACTAAGGTTGGGGCCCTGGAGAGCGGGTGCCTTGGTGTGTAGGCCCAGCCAGCTGCTCACCTGAGCTCCAGGTCCAGTCCTGCCAGCATCTGGGAGAAGACCTCGAAGTTGCCTTCCCCTTCGGGCTGCCGGGCCACCCGGCTCTTCTCCAGAAGCATCGTCTGCAAGGGAGGTGGCACCGGTGAGCGCCTGTGCCTGCTGGCGTCACCGGGAGGTCCCTCGTCCAGACTCTGGGCCTCCCCTCAGGCAACATCTCAGGTTCACACTCTGCTGGGGTCCTCCGCTCCCAGCAGACCTTTGTCTCGCTCCTTCCGGTCCATCCAGGGACTCAGCTACCACAATAAATTCACTCCAATTAAGGTATCAAAAGGTAATAGCAATTAAACGGAGCCGCCCTTTGACAGTCTTATTTAACGGCGGCCTTTAACAGCTCGCTCAAATGGTGATTAATGGTGGACTTTCCAGGCCGGGATGCAAGGGGCTTATTTGGCACCACTGACAAGTTTTCCTTGAGTCTGGATATTATCCCAGCTCCCCATACAAACAGCCCTCCTAATAACCTAATCCTATTTTCTGTTCAAACAGAATGTTTGAGGGGGAAGAGGAGGGGCGCGGGTGATTCTGGGGATCGGAACAAACAGGCCATGTGTTCGTCACACACGGGCCGTGTGGAGGCCGGCGAGTGGCTGTTTAATTTCAGCTTATGCTTTTAAGACCCAGCTAATGAGCGGCTGAATTACTTATTTGCTCATGAACATTTCGTTCCTGAAACATCAGAGGGGCTGGCGGTCAGCGTGCTCTGGGAGGGGACATTCTGGGGCACTGAGCAGGGCGGAGCTGGCGTGGCCGGAGGCGCTAACACCCTGGAGACACATTCCAGGGTCCAGCGGAGCAGAACCGAGGACCCTCTGGCCCCAGCTCCAGCCCACCCAGAGGCTCACCTGGAGCTGCGCAGCTGTGACTCGGCCTGTGGCGCTGAAGTCCAGTGACATCACCATGGTGAACCGGGTGGCACAGCGGCTGTGGCTGGTGGACACAGAGCCGAAGGCTCGGAGGACAGTGAAGGCGGCTTGGATCCTCTCCTCTAGGGGGTGTGAGGCAGGGTGTCACAAGCCTGACCCTCCGCACCCCCACCTCACTGGGCACCCTCGCCCCAGGGACGGAGCCCATCCTGCCCCACGCCTCACGGGCTCCCTACCACCTCCCGATTCCACGATAACCACACACTGCCAGCCTGGCCCTGTGCTGTTAGCCGGGGTGCAGGCCAGGCATAACTGAGCCAAGAAGGGTGCTGCCCAGGCCCTAGTTTGGTACGACTGGGCACAGGGGCTCTCCCGGCAGGATGCTCACCTTCTCCCTCCCCTGCGGGGACTCGCAAGATGACAGCAGGTTTGAAAATCTCTCTATGCTTCCCACAACTATCTGTCAAGCACCTGCTATGTGCTAGTCTCCATGCGAGGCACCTGGATGCAGCCTGCCCTGACTCCCACCCTCCAACACACGGTCCCAGCACAGTCACACTCTGAGAGGGCGCAGATGGGAACTTCTCCCCACTGCAGTCTTAGCCCCCAGCCTGGGCCAGGAAAATAAGTGATCAGGACAACATGAAAGAACCCAGCGGAGAAGCCACAGAGCAAAGCACAGTGGGTAAGTGAGTTTGAATATGGGTTCTTCTCTTTGCCCTTCTCTTTAGGGCAAATTAAGTTTCCCGTGCCGCTGATATCCCATCTGTAAATGGGGGTGGAAGTCATGGAGACTAAAAACTGTACTAGTGTAAAGTATTAGACCATAAACAAAGTGCATTTAGTACATTATCTACTATGACTAGACAAGCATTATTGCCTGGGTCACATGTTCTCAGGAGGGGATCTTGTCCCTCCAGAGGGGAGAAGCCAGTTCTTGGAGGTGGAGGGAATTTTATTTTCTTATACATGAAGCACAACTACACACACACACACACACACGCAGTTAAGTGGTACTGAAACTTGATGGTGGGGGGTTGGTAGGGAGAAACAGATCTAAAAGACTCCTGGGATAGGGCAGGAGATGAAAATAATAAAAGCATTGAGAAAACGGGCCCCAGGGTTATAGCCCGGGAACCAGACTGCCTGAGTGTGAATCTCAGCTCTGGGATGGATTAGCTGTGTGGCCTTGGGCAAGCTAGCTAACCTCTCTGAGTCTTAATGTTCTCATAGGTAAAGTTCAAATGCTGATTTCACCCACTCTACAAGGCTGCTTAAATAATAAATAAGTTGAGAAGCTGGGAACAAGACCTGACACAAGTTCTCAGCAAATACCAGCATTATTAATACTGTGAGCAGTACTATTACCTGGCATTCGTCTCTGGGACTCAACTCCAGCACCACGTCCTGAAGGAAGCCCCAGCCCCTGGCCCGTGCTTCCTCCCTGCCTCTCCCCTAAGCAGCTCGGCCAGCACGTGCACAGAACATCTGAGGCCCGTACTCAGGGGAGTGCAGTTTCCCTTCTGGCTCTGAGCTGCTGTGAGCAGAGGCCTCGCCCTTCACTCTTTACTTGCTGGGTCCTCAGTCCTGTTGAGCAAGCTGTGCACTGCACGAGGACACTGTGTCTACAAGGCCCCACTGGCATCACATCATAGGTCTGTTCCCAGAAGGCTGCAGTCGAGTGTGTGGTTACTACATGCTGGCTGCTCTCCAGGTGCTGTGAAGGTCTTGAGGAGACAGTACCTTTGGCAACTTTGCACAATGGTTTCTAATGGCCTGGGTTGGCCTGCCCAGTACAGCTCTGCACATAGCTGCTTAGTGAAAGTTACTGAATGGCTCTATGAGGAGTGGCGCAGCACCCCCCTTGACTGTCCCCACCCCCCCACACACACAAACACAGCCCTGTGCTATCTGTTGCCCAGAGACCACTGTACCTGAGACACTGCCATCCACGCTGCCCGCCATCCGCACTAGGTGCTCCAGGACCTGCTGGCAGCAGGTGGTCTTCCCAGCCCCACTCCGGCCCAGGGCCACGATGCTCTGGTCCTTCCGTTGGCTCAGCAGCGCCCAGTATGCCCTCTGCGCCAGGGAGCCAACGTGGGCAGGCAGGCCATCCCGGCGGCCCCTGGGTACCTGCAGGAAGGTGCCAGGTATCAGCTTACCCACCAGCGTCAATCCAGGGAACAAGCCAAGAGCCCTACCCTTGCTCAGGTCCAGATCTGTCCCCTGCCTCCCACCCTCCTCCTGTCCTGTGGGAGAAGTCATGAGTCTTAGTCTTGCATTTCACTGGGAAGATCTAGCCTGGGGGTCAGGCCCTGCTCCTGGCTCACCCTGAGTCCTTGGGCAGTCTATGACCTACTCTGGGTCTGGGTCTCCCTCCAGCTAGTGACGGCCTTGAACCCGAGCTGTGTTAGCACGTGGTCTTGCTTCGGAAATTATCAGCATTATCAGCTTGCACCTGCCTGATAAGCGGCAGCTGGATAAAACGGCAAAATTGACTAGTGATGTCTGCCATGGAAACAGTGCGGGGATGGGGGCTGGGCGGTATGTGTGCTATACATTTGCCATAACAGATTTAGGTGATACCTGAAGCCCCCTCCACTTCATTCATTCGTCCATTCATCCATTTAATTACAAAATTCATTGAGTGTCTACTATGTAACAGGCCCTGGGAGCCTAATACCACACCACAAGGAGATGCCTAAAATATTATTTTAAATATTTTTAACACTACCACGTTCTGGTGAAGGTGCTGAGTAATAGGAATTTGTGTACAATGCTGCACTTACCCTGAAAAACAGTTTGGCAGCTTTTGAAGCAGTGAGACATGCACTCACCACACAACCCAGAAATCCCATTCTCAGTTACATACCCCAGAGAAAAGCACATTTATGCTTACAAAAAAGCCCTCTACGTCACTGGTAAC